TGAGGTTCCATTTCTAGAGGAGAGACAAAGAGGATGTGTTTTATTTCACACTGATGGTTTTACTGAAAAAACAAAAACCATTTGAACCCAACATTAATTCATGACAGAAATATCTGAGATTGTATTTGCATAAAAAAATGTATTGTGGATTTCTCACATCACTGCAGTGAAGGTCTTTTTGTGTGTGTTTGTGTGTCAGTGATTGTGTGTTATCTTTCAATGGTGGTTTTACGAGCTGTGATAGTAGCTGTACTGCTTCAAAATATCTAAAATAGGTTATTGACAAAGTAAACAAAAACAGGGCAATAGCTGTTGATTTGCATGTTGTGTCTATTAAAGCTGGGGTACCTAAATAATCAGGTTTCCCAGACCCCTAAAAACAGTAGCTCCCCCATCATCGCCAAAATAAAAGCCCTGGAACACGTTGGAACTAACTTCAACCCAATGTCATGTGACCAACAGGCGATGAACTCTCCACAGGTGAAAGTCGATCCTCACGTTTCTGCCTTTCTCTCCATTTTGAAAGAACTCAAACTTCCAAACAGGAGGGAGCAGCAAAAGTTGGACTATCGTTGGTGTGATTCCTCATGTGTTCAATGCCCATGTGAGAAAAGCTTCAGAAACAACCATCTCATCTGGACTTTTGAAATAGAGGCCATTTTCCTGCCCTTCACAGGTCCTTCATGACCCATGCACGACAGTCCAAAAGTCTCCATTCTCCAACATTGTTCAGAACAGGTGACTACTGCTGTAACCTTCCCGATCATGTGACCAACACCACGTCAATGGAATCTGTGATGTGTGCAAAATGTTGTGTGTTTGTTGAACGACTTTAGCAAATCATCAAGAAATCAAGCATTCCTCCATGATGTGTCTAAGTCCTAACTCTGTAGTGAAAGCTAAGTTAAGTTAAAAAGTCATTTCACACTTTTTATATTTGCCTGCTGGTGTTTTTACAGGTCCATCTATGTATCTATCGTCACCTAATCTTCAAGCACTCCTTCCAGGTGGATGGATGGAAGAGGATGACGAGGCACTAGGCCTTCTCACGAGCTGTAGGGGCAACAGACGGCTGCCAGGTCCAGTTTAGGCCTCCAGGGGGCGCTGATGGGCAGTCCTTCAAGATCAGGAAGCTTTTGGACAGCATCGTCCTCAGGCTGTGACCATCAGAGTCTGGACCAAGTCTCTCTGGACATGTATGTGAGCTGTCCTGGGTCAGGTACCCCAGCTTTAATGCTTTAATGCATCTACTCTTTGTCACCACTAGATGTCATCGTTCAGAGAGAGAGGACACTTCACAATATGCAACACTTTTATTCTGATAAACAGGAACTCAAACAAAAATATACACATCTTTTCTACAAATAACATTCTTTTGGCTCGTTTCATCTTTTTGAAATTTGGCCCAAAACACTTTTACAAACAGCAGCAACTAACTGTGACCCAAACCTTTACCTGAGCCCAGGACCAGTGGGGGAGGGTCCCAGCTCAAAAGTGGCCAAAATGACGTGCTGCAATACCACCCCGGGCCTGTGGGGGTGGATCCAGAAGTAGAATTAGCCAATGCTAACATATAGCGTTGGCAGACCTCTCAAAAACGTCTTTACAGGATGGACCAAAAGTTGGCTCTTAAGCCCAAAGCTCCGTTCCACATGTGTGTCAATGCTGAGGGGGGTGGATTTTTTTGGTCCACTCTAGTTTACTTGCTGTGAATTTTTTAAGTCTCTCGTTCAAATGAACGGAGCTGCTCCGACTGACGCATGCACAGATGCGTTTTTTCACAATTTTCTTGTGGGCGGGACCACTCGTGGCCATTTTGGATTGCTCCAGTAGAGCACATTTTTTGGCCCATTAGTTAGAACGGCGGAGATAGGCGTGACTCTCTCCATTAATATATACAGTCTATGCCCAGGACACACAGGTTTACACTTCTGTACTCTGCAAACTTCATCTCAAATAAATCCAAAAAAAGACGAGTAGAGTAGAGTAGAGTAGAGTAGAGTAGAGTAGAGTAGAGTAGAGTAGAGTAGAGTAGAGTAGAGTAGAGTAGAGTAGAGTAGAGTAGAGTAGAGTAGAGTAGAGTAGAGTAGAGTACAATACAATACAATTTATTCTTGTGTAGCCCAAAATCACAACAGAAGTCATCTCAGGGGACTCAACAAAACCATTGAAATCACCAACACAGATCAGAGAATCAACAGTTAAAACACATAAAGAACATAGAACACATGTTGATAAATGTCATACATGTTGTAGAATGTTAAAGTGTCCTGATCATCACCACATCCTTCTAGTTGGACACTAACTGCCCAACAGACCCTCCTGCATCGACAAGGAAAATAAAGTGAGAAAACCAAGTGGAAAAAAGTGAGAAACCTCGGGGAGACCCACATTTGAGAAAGGGATCCACTCCCATGGACGGACAGGGTCACACCCGTCCTCATTCATCTATACTGCGACTCCCCTGCCCTTCTTCTTTCCGCTCCCGTCCACACTCCGGTCTGCACGCACAAGTTTTAATCCCTTCAGAGCGACCACAGAGACCGGGACGTTCTCACACAGCCACGTTTCAGAGAAACACATAAGTCCACAATGTATTTCCTCTGATGGCGGGCCAGTGTGGTCAGCTCTGGAGCCTCTGCGTCTCCTGCGTCTCAACACGGGGATCACCGGCTTCTCGGAGTGCAGGAAAGCAAAGTCTCTTAAGCCTGGTGCACACGAGACGATTTTAAAATTGTCGGCCGATTTTTCTCCGTGTTAGACCCCACACGGGGAGATAAAAAATGTGGTGCGTAGCCACACGGCAGGATCACGCAAGCCCCCCCCCCGAGCATTCCCAGGTCAGACGGAAATCTCACAAAATCTCTCGAGATCAAGCGTGACTTCAGAGTAAACAGTCATGGCGGACGAAGAGGATGCAGTGGCGATAGTGTGCAGTTTGTTGTTAACAGAGAAGACACGTAATCCAAAGAAAAGGCAATGGTCAAAGCCATGCTGCTGTGTTTTGGTTTTTTTCCGGTGTTTCCTCACCGGCTTGTCACCTCGTCTTCTTATTGGCTACACGCCGTAGTCATGGCAACGCGCTCGCTTGTCCTCGGAGGACACCACACACGACAAGAAATCGGGCCAAAGCAATCCAACATGTTGGATATCCCCGATTTGAGATCGGGAGCAGTCCCGATGTCCTTCCGAGCGACGAGTGCAGTCTTAACACACCACACACGGCAGGATAATCTGTAAGATTTTGTTACGGAAATCGGAGCGTTTCTTAAGATTTTCGTAAGGGGTAAATTGGGTCTAAATCGGCCTAAATATCCTGCCGTGTGAACCAGGCTTGAGTCAATTTTCACGGCGCAGTTTCCACTTCTGTTAAAAGGTTTCTAAAGATCACAAGGTCAACAGGAACTGATAGAACTCAGGCCTGTGGATCCAGAGCCTCTCCAGAGCAAGACAACTACACTAAACTATTATTGGTGCCCTAAAACTGTTGCATTCAAAGTGAAATACAGCTTCCTATTGCATGCAACACGTCACACTAACCATTCATCCCACAAACGGTGGTGGTGAGCTACAAGTCACAGCTGCCCTGAGGCAGACTGCTCCAAGTGAGGCTGCCTGTCATTGGCCCCATCTACCACCACCTCATTCACACGCACAACATTCACACAAGGCAAAGTGGCTGAAGTGTCTTGCCTAAGGACACAAGTTTACAGTCGCCCCACTGTTGCACCTAGTTTGTGTATCCCTTTCTTGGAACCCAAGGAATTAGTCTCAAAATGTAAATTTGTCCTCCGCATTTGACCCATCCTGCTGCCACTAAGGCTTACGTCAGGAGCAGTGGTCGCCATAGCAACAGCGCCCGGGAACTTATCTCCAGATGTTGATGCTCGGCTTGGTCAGGACCAGAGCTTTAGGATTTTTACCTACTGAGCATATCTTTAGTGGTAGGGGAAACCGGAGCACCCGGAGGAAACCTACGCAGACACGGGGAGAACATGCAAACTCCACTCAGAAAGGCCCTGGATACGAACCCAGGACCTTCTTGCTGAGAAGCGATGGTGCTAACCACTCAGCCACCGTGCCGCCCGTCATAAAGAAGTTGAATTTGGACTTTAAAGTTCCCAAAATCTTCATTGTGTGTGTACAGTATATGTATACACGTATATGTAAACATGATCTTCTCCACTTGTTTTGGTACGAAAGAAAGACGGCACCTATAGATTCTGTATAGACTACAGGAAACTAAATGCCGCCACCATCAAGGACTCTTAGGTCCCAATTCTCCCCCTTGCCCTTAAGTGCGAGTGCAAGTGTGAGTGCAAGTGCGAGTGCAAGTGGAGGGTGCACTCAACTCTCCCTAAGTATTGGGACACCCTTGTATGCAAATGAGCGTCCACTACGTCACACGCTATGTACATTTTTCGGATTTCACCCCAGTCCAATAGGTGGCGGTAATACATATTTCTTCATAGGGGAGGTAAGACCGGAGAAGTACTGCTGTTGTTGTTACTTTTGAAAATGCCGGGTCCAGCGGAGCTTCTGCCTGTTTTGTGGGCTATGATGCTTTTTCTTCGTTCGCAAAGTACACGGAGAAGCAACAGACGTAGGATGAGACTTCGACGTATGGTTGCGCTTGCCCGGATGTTTCAGGTATGGTGTTTTCTTTCATAATGGCGCGGCTTTGCCCGACTGCATATATATACAGTCTATGGCTGCAACATTACTAACTATCGTACCAAAACTGTGTCTAAAACAAGACGACCTACAAACGATACAAAGATCAAAAGTTACATCCATATGTCCAAACGTCTAACCATGAAGTATTCATCGCTGTTTAAATAAGTATGTACTAAACACGTGTATCACAAACGCAAAAACAAAGCGGTGCAGCATTGGCTACACTGGTTCTACTTTCCTTTCACTGAAATCTTGAGTCACAGTATTATATTGAGAACTATTTATATTGCGGAAAATATTATATGAAGTACTGTAATGCCTTTGCATGTATAGTTTGTATTGTTAATGTCACATCACTGCTTTCATGAGGGGAATTTGTGCTCTTAGGCCATCACTCATGCTATATATTTTTTTGCTCTTTGTTTTTCAGAGTGACCGTCCAGCAACGTACTGTAAAGTCAATGTGGTTGTGCCTATTCTACGCTTGTGGTTGGACGTCGAATTGGACACAAAACCTGACTTCAGACTGTCCAGGCAGGCCATGCATTCGCTGCAACGTGTAATGAGGAGAGCGCAAGATCATGGTTGGGGCAATGAATATGAGGTCCTCATATATGTATACTGGCTTGCCCATGGACTATCCTACCGTGTTGTGTCCAGAGTGTTCAGTATTTCTAGGTCTACTGTCCACAGGGTTGTCCATAGGGTAGCACAGTTCATTTGGAACAATCTACACCGAGCAATCAGTTTTCCAAAGATGGCTGACATTGATGCAGTGAGTAACGGCTTTGCCGAGCTTGCTGGAACACCTCTACTAAACAAAGCTGTTGGAGCCATTGATGGTTGTCATGTTCGCATAAAGCCCCCATCACTCCATCGTCTGGACTATCTAAATTACAAGGGTTTCTACTCAATACAAATGCAAGCTATTTGTGATCACACAGGAAAATTCCTAGACATTTTTGTGGGCTATCCAGGTTCTGTCCATGACACGCGCATTCTGAAGAACAGCTCGTTTTACCTTGCAAGAAGGTACCCACCTAAGGGGTACTTCATTCTGGGAGATGGTGGGTATCCTTGTTTGGAGGGACCAATCGCCCTTATTACTCCATACCGAGAGCCAGTGAACGGCTGGGCCCAAAGGAAATTCAACTACCATCTGTCAAGAGCCCGTTCTATTGTGGAGAGAGCATTTGGGATTATGAAGACTCGCTGGAGGTCAACCCTGTTCAGAGCCCTGGAGGTCAAGCCTACATTTGCACCACAGGTTATAGCATCGTGTGCCTTTCTGCACAATGTATGTCTAGACAACGGAGACGTCCTGGAACCTGATAGTGATGCAACAGACATCCTGGACCCGGAACTTCCTCTCCATGAAGCTGCTGAGGAATATGAAAGGGCAGGGACTGCAATAAGGGACAGGCTCGCTGTATTGTTCAATGAAGACCCTTAAATGTAAAGTAAATTCTT